TAGATACGTCATATTTTAGCAAGGAGAGAGTCGATGAGTGTTATAAATATAGTTATTTATGAATGTATTTTTAATGTATAATTTCAGTTTATTTTCATTTTTGGTATAAAACTATGGCTGACATAATAAAACTCTTAAAAGTATATATATTTTCAATCTTTATTACTATACATTATTTAGTATTCATTTATTCTCTCTGACCTAGGGAAAAGGTCAGAAAACCCTGGTCATAATTGTTTACAATGTTGCGTGTTCCTAATGATACAAAACATTACAGAGGAATGATACTTAGCCGATGAAATCTCACCGAGTTCACGCATGACATATTGTGGTATGGAATATATGCATCTGCAGATTTAAATTTATTTTTGCGTACTGTTTTCTATCAACTGATACCCCAAATTTATACAAGCCACGTCTTCGCACCACAATGTGACATAGCATCAAATCTGCTTAATCTCGTACCATTTTTTTAAAGTATCAAGGATATTCTTGGTGTAGCTGATCATCATGTTTCGAGTCACTGAACCTAAAAAATAAGAAATATCAATAAATAGAATTCGGAATTTATTCCAAAAATATTTTTCTTTGGGAATTATATAAGATTTCTCGTTAATATACTGACAAACTTTTAAAGGTGGTAGGTGCATCAAAATAAACATTTTTTTGCTTAATAAAATAAAAATAATTTTATTGCCCAACAAATTAATCCATTTACAGAACAAAATACATGAAATAAATGTTAAACATAATATTAGTAGGTATACCTGCTGAAGTTAAGTAAAAAAATTCTGGCGAATCTATGAAAATAGATAAAATATCATATATCGATTCTAAACAAAGTTTTGCAAAATTTCAATATTGTGAATTTGTAGATATCCATTTATGATAAAAAAACTAAATTTTACGACTTGCACTTGGAAAATAATGAATACTTCAGTTTTCATTTTGACATTAACACCATATAGATTGAAATTTGCTGGGGACTTTTTCGCAGATTTCATTTTTAACATAAACACTATCACATACTATAAGAAATAAACAAATTTAAAGCTAAAAAGTAAGAAAAAAAAATTAAAATGTAAACAATGAACTCGTTGCCATATGATGAACTGATTTTAAAACAAAATTAATAAATGAACTGAAATTAAAAAAAAATAATATAATAAATCGGTTTTATAAAAAAGTCCTTAAATAAATATAGAGTATGATTACATATACACAAATTTTGATTCTTAAATAAAAGGTCTTATCCACTTCTTCAAGAGCTAAAATCTGACGACGTAGCGAAATTTTGCTACTTCTGGCAACACTGAACGATATCCTACTTATAGGGACTTTCTACAAATTTCCTCCAGAGGGCGTATCACTTATCTTGAATCGCGAATAAAGATCCTTTCAATTATATCTTCTCAAGGAAGTGTAGGATTTGGAGTGGCTTCAGGTTAGGTAAATCTCCCTCTTCTATTTGATATGCTCCTAGGTATAGTGCCCTTGGATTCTGAAGTGCTACACATTTAGTTAGAATGTGAATAAAGATTTTTTCCTCCTCCTCACAAAATCTGCACTATCTTCTACTACTCTCAGTTTACTAAGGTGTAATTTTAGTTGGCAATGTCCAGTAAGGATCCCTGTTACAAGTGTTCTCACTACTAGAAAAATGTATATTATGATAACAGCTTAAAATACAATCTGGCTAATGTGGAACACCCCGAAAGCCTTGCCAGACTCGTCTAATGACCGTCAGGCGCGCTAAATTCGGCACGTTCGATTACTATTCCTCTCCTCGTTTAACTACCTGGCTTGTCAGGTCCGACCGAAATACGGTTTTATAACCGAAACAGAAACCAAATTTCGGCTCCTTTCTTAGTTTCGGCCAAAACAAAAACAAGAACTTTCTTTTAAGGCAATCTCTTATTGAAATTTGCAATATCTCATTGTAATCCTTGTTTTAGACTAATTAACTCGTATTATAAATTTTAGCTACATTTACTTATTACCACCTGTTTATTTATGTGATCAAAAGAAGCCATTAATAAATTTATTGACATGTTCACTTGAAACAAAGCAGAGAAGTTTGTGTGTACGTACACTGTGTAGGAATGGCACCCGGCACAGTCGCCATTGTGCCGGACCAATTGTGATACGAAAACTTTTAAAAGTAGTTTCGCTGTCGGCTGCCGTTTCCGCCAGTTTTCCGCCGAAACAGAAACTGTAGTCGAAACTATTATTTAAAGCCAAAGTTGGCCGAAACCGTAACCGAACCTTCGGTCGGACACTACTTGTGAGTCTGGCAGGCCTCTGTAATTGTAATTGTCAGCCAGACGTGTATTTTCACTTACGAATATTTTGAAATTTAGTCTAAGTAGATGGATAATGTTCTTAAAATATGCAAAAATTTACTGATAATAATTTAGGCACGTTTGGTATTGGGTAAGAAAGTTTTACACCAAAATATTCAAATTTTAAAACTTGACAGACATGCATTAAAACGACTAAAATCAAATTTTTAAAGGACATACCATGACCATTTGTCGTATTGAAGTCGTTTAGTTGACGCGAAAAACCTAATTATTATTTTACATAAAATAAATGTAGTGTATTTCTACCTAGTTATAATTGGTATTAAATAAAATATTAACCACTGAAATGGCAAATTTTTTATTTGCATGAAAGAGCTGCTCAACTGTCAAAAAAATGTTCAGTATAATTTCGTTCAGGGTACCCACCAAAAGAAAAATTTCCGGAAATTTTTCTGGTTGTCATGAAAGTGTTTTAAAATAACAGCAGTTGATTGGCTATAAAATGGAGGTGTAAAATTATAATTTAATCTATCACGTGACAAATTTTCAAACCCGGGAAAATAAAAGCAAAAATATTATATTTTTTCCATTTAGAAGATATTACCAGACTCATTAGCCAATTTCGTAAATCAGCCAGACTTATTATTATAAACAGTTCATGATTGTATCAATTTATATGCTCAATTTTCTGCCACACTCACTTTCCACTATCTGAGATAATCCAAACTGCTATTTTTATAAGCTTTATGTTCTAGTTTAGTAAATGTAAAATAGTTATGACTGGGAAAATAAGTGTCAGACTCAAAAATTTTAGTTTTTGTCACTAAGAGAACAGTTTATTTTTCATATACACCGACTGGAAAAATGAATACGAAAAAAATTCACTGCCTCCTGAACTAAATGTAAAATTGCAGAATCAATCAAATGGCACGATTCTTTTTATTTTTTATTTCTGTTCTGAAATGTTTGGGTGGATGTGCGATAAATGTTCTAATTATTTTTGGGGGGGCTAATTTGGTTTTTGGGGGGCTTAGCCCCCCCAAGCCCCCCCTTAACTTCGCCCATGAAGCGTAGACAGGTTATTTTTCATCTCACTCGGGAGTATTTATAATAACCATTATTTCACATTGTTATTGTCTGATCCACGAACTTGTGGACTGGATAAGAACAATGTAAAACAGAAAATTGTAATATAAATATTCTCACGCCTGGCCATTTTCTAATTGGGTCACCCTTATTATCTTACCCTGAAGTTGATATATCTCAAAAATTTAATAAGTTAAAATTATTCAAAAAAAAAAACACCAAAAAAGAAGACAATAGTTGCCCTAAACTCCTCGCCACTTAGTTTCTGTATCTCAAATTGTATGCTGGCAAGCAAATAAATTGATTTACCACCATCAGAAATAGTTTTAATAGAATTTAAATTAGCACCCCAAATTATACTGGGAAGAAACTGTAGATAATTATTTCTGTTATAAACAGAAGAGTTTAAAAAGATCAGTTGAGTTCGGCAAGATACTCTACCAGTGGAAATTAACAAATACCTATATAAATAAATTTGTTATAATTGAATTTGCCATTGTAGTGATCTAGTTCTAGTATATTTACAATATCCTGTTGAAAGATGTTCCCCAGTAACACCATTCTAGGGGCGCCTATGGTTCAGCATGCAGCCGGTTTTGCCAAGCAGAGACAAGTATATAAATACCTCCGAATTTAAATCTCGTCAGTCGAACTAAGATATTGACTTAGCAAGACTCTCCTCTCCTGCTCCTGCAGAGTTATTGACTCTGTAGGCTTCCCGACGTCCCGACCATTACCTGCAAAGGTATTGACTTTGTAGGTTCTCCTTCACCGTGAATCTCTCCCACGAAGGTACTGACTTCGAGGGACTTTCATCACCGTAAAGGTAGCCTATGCTTTTGTCTTATCTTCGCCACACCATCCTGGATCACTAAGCCACGCCGAACCGACGCAAGGAATATACTTTGGGGAACATCATTTGAAGATATGACGAATTGACATATAGCCAGAACCTTTTCATGTACATATTGTAAGTATTGTTACCTGCATATAAATTGTTAGAATAAAGTTTTATTTCCAAGGAACTCTGTCTCCAAATATCTAAAATCTACCCGCTTCCCAACAAACCAAAGAAGGGGTTACACTGTTCATAATTGTCAATGTAGCCTTAAATCTGGTTGTGTTTACATCAGCTGTATGTATAACCTACCAAACTTTATCCTAGTATTTTGATTCTACATATTTACCTTAGAAACACTATCAATAACTACAGTTGCTAAAACAGCGTCATGATCTGCCACATTTACTTAATTAACATCACATTTAAAAGCTCCTATACACGATCGCCCAAGAGCTATTGCATTCATTCATTTATTCATTCATGTTTGTCCATTGTTCAAGATGGAATTCGAGGACGAGTTGGTTGCAGCTACTGCTATTTATGTGATTTGTACATACAATTATCACATAAATAATGTTAATAATAAAATTATAAAAAAGGTAGAAAAGAAGGTTGTGTGTTCATCCTAATCTTTGTATTTTAAATCATTGAGTCACCTTGATATAGGAAACAAAAGAATTGTAAACGAATGTATAGCCAAAGAGAAAAAGTTTATTTAAATTCAAACAAAGATTACATAAGTCGATTTTTAAAAATAAAAAAATCAGTTGCTTCAGTGAAATTTTATTTCATCCTTATACACTTCCTTTACATTCCGTTTTCCATTGGTTAGAGTCTACAGAAATTGACTGCATCATTTCCAGATACTTATCATAACTGCATTGGTGTTGACACTGTTTTACATCTAATTCCTTAAAATCTTTACATTTTTTATTATAAATTCTCAGGTAAACATCATCGTTTGCGCTCTTATACAATTCCCAAATTATCGTTTCTGCGAATTCGGGTAAATGATAGTCATAAACACCGTAACTATTTAAAACTGACGCTATAGTTTCATCGTGAGCAGAAATCATCAAAAATTTAGGATTTGTTCCATTAATAATTCCGTCAAAGTAATTGTGAAGGTTATTAAAAAATGGACCGATCTTAAGACGTTGCATTTCGGTGGTAAAAGTTCCTATGGAAAAATGTAATCCTGCTAAATAATTTAGTTCGCTCATATCGATTTGATCTGCCCATTCGGGTAAATAAGATGAATTGTGCATATTGTAAATGTAAAATACTGTATAGAGCGTTTCGAAATATCCAAGTTCTTCGATATTCCATCCAGTTTTTTTCTCAATAAACGTTGTAATGGCTTCATGTTTTTGTAAAACGTTTTTAAAATATGACGAATATAAGGTCGAGTTATACAGTTCCTCAAACTTTGGACAAATGTTTTCTGGATATATTACAGCAATGTCTTTGTAGGGTATCGTGTGAATAGGAATTGGATCCCAAGGTAAATTCTTTTTCCAAATGGTGGATTCGTTTGTTGGGTAATACAGGCCTGCTAAATTCGAAGCAGCCGACATCAATATTCTGTCGAGATCGGTCGATCTGACCAAAATATCTTGAGCATTATACACTTCGGGCAAAAAACCATCATAACGGGACCTTAACCAACTTCCCAGATTAAATTGACTTAATTTTCCTGCCTGAAAATTAACAAAAAAAATTTGAAAATGTCATAACAATAATGACATTTATTTGATTATTTAACATTATAATCAACAGACGCCAATAAAAACAAAGTGTATCTGAAACCACACCATGCTGCAGTGTTTTCATTCAAACCCGATTGGATTAAAAAAATTCAGAGTAACGAATCAATAATTTATGCGGAACGTTAATGTAAAGTTTGTCAAAAAGGTACAAAAATAGACAAAAACGTTTTAGTTGTTTAAATATACATTATAAAAACAAAATCGACATTATCTTACGGAAACAAGCAAATTTTATTTATAAAAGTTCGGGTTATGTTGTTAAATAATCTTTTCAAATATCAAAGGTGAGAATTTTTTTGAGAAAATATTGTTGTTTCTTTATAAATTATGCAAATTTGACTCAACAAAATGTTCCCGAAATAAGGAGGCCTTTGTTTCGTGAAAATTAGACGCATAATTTCTAAAGAAAAAACAAAATTATCTCAAAAAATTCTTACCTTTTGTAGTATTACTGTGATATTATGATCTATGTATTTTTGATCAAGTCATAATAAAGAAATAATGACATTTATCTGATTATTTAACATTATAATCTTTTATTCCAAAAAATGCAAATAAAAAAAAAACTGTTGCAGTGTTTATATTTAATTCCGATTCGATTTAACAAATTGAATTAATTACCAGAGTAACTTTAATGTGAAGTTTGTCAAAAAATGGACAAAAATCAGTTTGCTTATTCAAATATAATTTTAAATACATAATCGATTTTATCTCATGGAACCAAAGTAAATTTTTTTTATAAAAGTTCTGTTTATATTGTTAAATCATTTTTCCAAATACATGCAAGGTGAGATTTTTTTAAGAATATTTTGTTGTTTCCTTACAAATTATGCAAATTTCATTAAAAAAAAATGTTTCCGAAATATCACTCGACCAATGTATCTTACTATTTTATGGAGGATTTTGTTTTATGAAAATTAGACCCATAGTTTTCAAAGAAACAACAAAATATTAACAAACCATTTTTACCTCTTGTAGTACTACCCTTAACAATAGTATGTATGTATCTATATGCTTAAAACTTACATCTAGGAGTTGTCCCAATCCTTTTGGCCAATACTTAACATCAAAATAAGGATCATTAGGCTATGATTCATCAGGACCTCTATCACCGTGTCGATAAACCTGAAATTAAATAAGCCCTTATTGAGATTTTGTATTAAATAGTTATTAAGATAATGAAACTAACTATAAAAGTAACTTACAACTGCCACCCCAATAAGTTCATCACTTTGATCACTGTCTATTACCAAACCAAAACACTGATCAAGAGAATAGGCAAATAGGAAAATTAAAGTTACTTTTGAAATAGAAATCATCTTGAATGAAATATTATTAGATTTTAACTTAATTTGTGAACTGTCTGGTTTTATAATAATTAGTAAATCAGATAACGGTATTTGTACTTTCAATAATGACAATATATATTTTTTATTATTTTAATATTTCCATAATTTACAATAAAGTAGATAAATATTATACGTTTACTATCTATTATAGATTATTAGATTTAAATGATAACTATTAAAATAAATTTAATGATACTCACGGTGACAGTAAAAAATGGAAATTAATCAATGAAATGAATGGATGTTAAAAATTTAACTACCTTCTGATTTTATTAAATAAAAATTGAGGTTTTGTTAAAAATAATAAAGAAAAAGCAAACTTATTTATTAATATGTTTACAAAATTGGGTAAAAATTTAAAACCAGTTACAGGTTCAGAAATAACATCTTTTCTAACTAAAAAACAACTGTTTTGCAGGATCTAATGAAATAGAAACTAAACTGATTAAATATATTCATCGACTACGCTTTACTGAGTTGGTCTTTTGAATTGCTTCCAATGAAAATATTATTGAAAAAATCTGCTGTTACTTTTTCAAGTAGTAGACTAAGTTCAGAGTAACTATAAATTTTTTTCTATATATTTTTTTATGTATTTGCTGCTGTTATACTACCATACGCGTGTTTAGTGTGCGTCACAGGTTGAGGAAGGTCATAGCACTAAATGCCAACAAAGGAACCATACTGTCATTTAAGTCCATAGGAATAACACGGCCCAGGCTAGCACAGAAATACCCCATCTATGTTAATAAGCTACAATTTTAGGCTCTTTAAGCTCACATACGATGTACTTTTAATGTAACCCTAATATCCCTGCAACCACCGAATGTCCGCAACGGCAAGACTTTTATGGCACATCTCACAGAGGTTACAAAGTGAAGTTCGGAAAACAGCACACTAGCACTTTTAAGGTACTTACCCTGAAAGTTGCTCTGAAACTTTCTACAGCATTATACAGTGTGTCCACGGATGGACTTGTGAAAATATTTATTTTAAATTAAAAAAGTAATTCTTCATAATTTATTTTACTTGTTTAATAAATTCGCTTCACATTATGAAATTGTGAAAAATTACTTTTTTTAATTTAAAATAAATATTTTTACAAGTATAATTAAATCCATTCATGGACACACTATATTGTTCTTTGTGTAATGTAATACAGAGAGGCTGAAATTGAGGTAGGGGAGAGTGGGGCACAGAGGACTGGTGGTGCACAAAGGACTTTGTTCATATTTCTGCTATACGTTCTGCCACCTGGTCGGCTTTACACTATATTAAAGTCCGCACATCTTTCTATCAGTCTATAGGTTATGATCGCCGATTCGACAACTCGTGCAGTTTTGCCAAAAGAGTGATTTTCAAGGTATGTGATGTGATATTTATTTATTTTTATTGCCTCGTAAATAATTTAAAATTGTATTGATGTGTTTACGTATTGCATGCATTTGAAACTCCCATTAATAAGGTCTTGTAAGGACATGATATTTTCCAATAATTCTACCTGTAGATTTCATAACCTATAATTTCGTCTGAAGTGTGTATTCGGGGCAGAGCGGACCAACATCTGGTCCTCTGTGTCCCCTCTTGGTCCTGCGTGCCCCGTTAAAGATAATTCTTCTATTTCAGATGGTACGTGCATATAAAAAAAGAAGCCTGTCCCAGAGTGGACTATCCAAGATGTTGAAGCTGCCATTAGTGCTGTAAACAGGAGTGAATTATCCATCACAGAGGCAGCTAAGCAATATGGTGTTCCGAAAACGTGTCTTCTAAGGCGTATTAAAAGTAATAATGTTACGCCTCCGCAAAATGATCACTTTAAACAAGTATTCACTAAAATTCAAGAAGAACAAATTGTTAAACATGTCCTTGACTTAGAAACAACATTTTATGGTCTGGGGCCCATTGATATAAGAAAACTTGTTTTTCAAGTAGCAGAGAAGATAAATATTGCTCATCCCTTCAGCAAAGAAAAGAAAATGGCAGGTATGGACTGATTATATCATTTTAGAAAAAGGCATCCGAATTTATCATTAAGAGCTCCTGAGCCAACCAGTATTGCGAGAGCGGCTGGTTTTAATAAAGTGCAGGTTACTAAATTTTATGATTTGTTGTCCTCGGTGATGAATAAGTACAAATTTCAAGCTGACCAAATATATAATGCTGACGAAACTGGCATGAATACCGTACCCAAGCTACGAAAAATTGTTGCACGAAAGGGACGCAAGCAAGTAGGCCGCATAGTAAGCACAGAAAGGGTTTTTAATGTTACAGTGAAATATCATCTTCAGTTTCTTACATTCCTAAATGGCTTTCCAATCACCCAGCTCAAAGAATATCAATCGATGATGTTATGGAGATTTTTGGCAAAGCATTTTTAAAACTTGCCACTCTAGAAAAGGCCGTCAAGGGTTTTTATGTAACAGGTATTTTTTCGCTAAATCCTGATGTATTTTCGGATACTCAGTTTCTTCCTTCGTCGGTCACTGAGAATCCACAAGTGACAGCAGATTTTGATAATAGAGAGAATAATCAACTTAATGCAGAACCACTGCTTCAGCATAGTCACTTCCTCGATAATAACCCAGAGTTGGTCCCAGAGGACGAAACTGTTCAATCAAGACTAATATTACTAGTATCCTCAACCTCACGAAAAATGGACACTTCTGAACCAGTACCGGGTCCATCGACTACCAAAGATATACCAACATCACGAAAAATAGACACTTCTGAACCAATACCAGGTCCGTCGACTGCCAAGGATCCATCAGGAGATGATTTTGAAAAAATATTGGCTACAATTTCACCCAAGCCAAAGTGCAAACGAAAACTTAATACCAAACGGAAAGCTCAAACAGCAGAAGAATTAACGCCATTTAAAGACTCTCTAGAAGTCGAAATTCAAGAAAAAAGGAGAAATGCATCGCTGAAAAAGAATTCTGAAAAAGGTAAGCCGGTTATTAGAAAATGCTTCTCGGCTTCTGAAAAAGGAAAAAGTCTGCAAAATAGCCACGGTTTAGCAAAAACGAGAAAGAAACTTCAAACACAACGGAGGCTGGATGACGATTCTAGCGAATCAGACGATGAAATTAATCCAAAATGCATATATTGTATCGGAAAATTATTAAAGTCCAAACCTAACGAAGGGTGGATTCAATGCCAGTTGTGCCGAAATTGGGCCCACCAAATGTGTGCAGGTGCATCAGAAGATGACGATCAGTTCCTATGCGCAATGTGTGATTAACATAAGAACCTAGCGTTTATTTTTGTCAAAAATGAGCATTAATGTTTTATTTTAAATATAAACCATTATTATTGTGTTTTGTGGTTCGTTTTTCAATAAAACCTGTTTTTTATCATTATTAAATTCGGAATTAGTTTTTTTACATACAAGTAACTTAGCGGTCCTTTGTGCCCCAAGGTATGGGGCAGAGAGGACCGAATACATTCACTCAAACTTTTCAAAATAGAATCAATACCAAGTAAGATTTTGTACAGGTATATGCATCAGTCGATACCGCATAGGTGTAGCCCCAGTATCTTACATAGTGAAATTTTTATTAAAATGTTCTTGAAATCAAGTAGTAATATCACAAAAGTAGAGGTAGGTATATCACAAACGCAGTTACACATGTGCGATAGTAGAAGCCACCTATAAAGCACAAAGGACAAAATTTGGTTAATAGTATAATAAGGTATCAATATTGCAAAGGTTCACTAGAAGCTTAAACAGTGAACGATTGTACAAAAGTATATTTATATGAGGTACGTTTCAAGATGGCAATTGTATGATGCTAAAAAACTAGATCTGTGAATAATAGATGATTGCAACAATGACTAGGTACATATTATACGAGATAGCTGAGTTCCCAGATTGCTTACCTATACTCGCAGAGATATGTCATCTTTTAAAATCAAACCTTTTAACTTTTTTTTTGTATAGATATTTATTATTTATGCAAAAGTGAACAAAAATTACTTTATTCAAACTACATGTGGCTTGGAAATATTTTTATTTTTACTAGGTATAATGTAACATAAATATATGACAATTTATTAGAAGAGGATAAATTATATTTTTATTTAAAATGATTTTACTTTTCCACAACATAATGAATAAAAAAGAGATTGACCTATTTTTTTAACGATTATCGAAAGAAATTATATAGAAATTAAAAAATAATGCTCAAGTTTAAATCGTTGCATTTATTTTTAGATAATTTGTCTTACTTTATTGTTTTAAGAGCCAAAAATCAATCTTACATTTGAGGCAGTTAAAAACAATTGTAAAAAAAATGATTCAGACCAATCGTTCTAAAAATGAACCGACAATGACGCTAAATCGCGAAAAACTTATATTTTTAAAGAAAAACAACTAAAATTTCAACTTTTTAACAAATTTAATTTTTTTGGCTCTTTAGCGTCATTCTATAACAAATATCTTAACTATTTTCTAAATAACTTTTTTTTAAAAAGATTACCAATTTTAAACAGGACCAAAGATTAACATAGTTTTTATTCCGATACTAATTCTATTAAAACAATGATACCAGTGAATATGGCAACGCTGCTGGTCTATGAAGCCCGTGGTTAAAAGGGTAGCTGCTGTTTAGTTAAACTTGTTAATTCCTGTGTCGAAAAAAAGTTGTTTTTGAAGAGGTGCAAAATTATTGTGATCGTCTTAGTTTGTTTTTGAGGCGTTGTTAGGTTTTTGTTTAATTTAGTTTTTAGTTAATTTATGAAATGAAAAATTCTGGAAAGCAAAAATGCTACCACAGCTGACAAATTTCTATTTTAATTGTTTGCTGCCAGAGTTAGTAGATCCTAGAGAAATGCGACATATGCCAATTAGGAAAAAGAGATTGTCAAGAATTTTGCCCGCTTAAAAAATGTGTAATATACAGGGTGTTTCTAAATACATGCGACAAAATTCGGGAGGTGATTGCTCGAATGAAATTAAGATGGGTCTTTCCTATAACAAAATTTCCTCAGCCCACCTCTTTTCGAGATAA